TAGAGGTAGTTTAGAAGTCCACTTGTTAGGGGACTATTTTCCATTCGATTTTCTCCAGGATAGGATAGGATAGTATTTCCTATGAGTTTATTTTTCAGTATTCAATCATTGTAATCCATTTTTCAGAATGTTAATAAAACGAGATTTGAGTTGTGGTCCCGGAAGTAGCCGAACTACAGCTGCTCTGATTTCTCGTACCAGACGAGAATATGTAGGCATAGGATGCGATATCCTAGCGAGCACACTAACAACTAACCTTTTGTTCTCTCGCTGCTGTGCGATCGAGACTTTCCCGCTGACGACTGATGTTCCCCTTTTTCTCTCTTGCCCGAGTGCATTTGAGACCAAACCGTAGTTTTTCCCATAGGTTCCCGTACCTTTAAAACCAGTTTGATTTCTCACTGCTGTGTGAGAATACCCTGTTTAGCCGTAGTTAGCCTGAACTACGTAAGCTCTGATCTTCCATGCAGTGTGGAAGTACGTAGGCACAAGACGCGAGGTCTTGGCGAGCCAATTTTCCCCGTAGTCCCGAACTACGTTGACTCTGACTTTCTCTCTTGAGAATACGTAGGCGTAGAGTGCGACGCTCTATCGAGTCAATTCCCTTCCGTTTAGATTTAGCAGCCGTAGATAGATTATTTTTGCATCCTGTAGACAACCCAAGCAAGCGTGGATCCCATCGAGTACGATGGACGTGAGGGGTGCTAATACCTTCCCCTTGCGTAACCGACTCCCGAACCCAGGTTTTGGTTGAGATGACCATACCTCTCCCCGTTTTTTGCGAGGTTTACTTCGAGCGTTTCCTTTCCCTCCGTTGGGATAAATAACGCACGGTGGCGACTCTTCTGTCAGCCGGTGCCGATTTTCGCAGTAGCGACAGCTGGCGACTCTGCTGGGGATCGAACCCAGAGTCTCTGGTTGCTAAGGACTGCGATAGTTCCTTATGCATTTGGGATCCAACGTCCCCTAGAGAGAGTCAATCCTAGCGCTTGTTTGCTTGTCTATTGGGTGTTTATTTATTGATATTATTTGTTGCTGTTGTGCTATTGGGGTGTGACGGGTGTTCTATGATTGAGAGATAAGTCGGACCTGGGCTTGAGTGCACCTTAGACTTAGAGTAGAAATTAGTGGGCGCGCACATGCTTTGCATGTCTTAGTGTCCCGCGAAATCTACACTCAGACGAGGTTCTTCTGGTTGGCCTCTTGTCCCACCCTTTGGGTGGCTCGGGTTGCTGGTTAGTTGGATTGTCGACTCTGGGAACCGATCATTTGGAAGTTAGCTAAGTGAGGCCTCTTCAAGACTTGATGATGCCACTCCTTCTGGGAATCGTATCGTCAGTCTTGAAAGTCTGTGACGCTGACGACCGTATAGGATGCTGTACCTTGTCAGATATAGGTCCATACCTGTGAGTGGGGGGTTTTTTTGCAGGAAACTTGACTTCCAACCTACCCGTTATTTTGGTCTTCTCTTCAGAGCAAACGTACTCCGTCAACAGCGCAGCAGTATTCAGATTTGTGTGGGGGCTGTGGTCCCATTGTTTGCTGCATCTTGCATATCATGTGCATATCAGTGTCGCATCATATTGCATATCATCACTAGTGCAGAAACGACTTTTTACATCGGGCGAAATTGACTTTTTACATCGGGTCTTAGTCCGATGTAAAGCCAGGCGATGTAATAAATCAAAGACATTTTACATCGGGTTTGTGGCCCGATGTAAGAAATACACCAATCACATCGGTTAAATTTTTAAGTCTGATGTGAAAAAAAATTTATAACTGTAAATTTTAATTATAAAATGGTGTTTTTTACATCGGTTGCAGAGAAAAACCGATGTAAAAGGTGGGTATTTTACATCGGTTGCGTGACAAAACGATGTAAAAAGTACTGGAGGAAAAAAAAATTTCATGCTGACACTTTTTTACATCGGTTTGTTGGTTCAACCGATGTGAAAAGTACTGTAGGAAAAAAATTGCTGACACTTTTTACATCGGTTCTGTGGTTAAACCGATGTAAAAGGTAGTTTTTTACATCGGTTTTTTCTTTCGCCCGATGTAAAAAGTACTGTTACGAGTATAAATTATTTGCCTATTTTTTAGTCGTTCCCTGTATCTTTTTTGGTACCTAATTTTTCATATTTTTCCAACATTACACAGACCATAATTAGGTCGCTATTTTTCATAGTGCACATCATGTAGACCACATTTAGGTCGCTATTTTCATAGTTTTGCAACATCACATAGATCATATTTAGGTCGTTAGTTTCATATTTTTCTCATAAATCTAATTTGATTGCACCAAATATCTAGTATACAAATAAGTGATTCACAAAAGTGTCAATATAAAGGATATACACAAATGTACTAACAACAAAAAGGCCGGTTAACCTTTATACACAAATGTGCTAACAACAAAAAGCTACACAAATGTACTACAACAACAAAAAGGTTAACCTTTATATAATTCAAAGAAACATGTTGCCCAACGGAGTCGCAAATCATACAAATCATCGGGCGATAGGTTCGTTGGGTCATCAAATACCTACAACACGTAAGTAACAATAGAGTTATTCTTTGAAAATTCATATTAAGTTGCAAAACGTAAAGTAAATAACAAATTAAAGTCATTTTTATTACCTTCATCCAAGAGTTAGTTATATTGGCAGAGACAATATCCAACATATTTTTCATCACATAATACCCACAATCATTAGAGTTAGGTTGTTTCCTTGTCTACAAATGAATGACATAATTAGTAAATACTTATATGATAAAATTAAATATCTAATTATAATTTACACCACACTTACATTGGGTTGAAGCCATGTAGCCTTTTTTCTATTCCCATTTGCCGCTTGATGAACCCCAAAAGCACTAATTCAGAAGAAAAAAATTCATATAAAGCCACACAATATATGATATTACTTTTGTAACAAATTATGTATATAGGATGAAGTGAACATTAAAAAATAAACTTACTTTGTAACAATTTTTGTCATGGTTTGATTAAGTTCATGATGAAGGGAACAAAAGACGACCACCGTATTATCATTTGGACACATGACTATTAATTGCCAATGACCTCTGTACATGTGTGTGGAAACACAAAAGTCACAATTTCATGTTACCAAAATTGAATTATATATGTTACCAAAATTAAAAAAATAGAAAACATAGTTTCATACAAACTTACCCATGAATAAATGGTAGCAAGTGACACTCTCTCTTTTCGTCACGTAACTTATGTTGTATGTATTGTTTGACATCTGCTTGAGATCTCGGCACATGATCAACGTACGAACACATAGCAGGGTCCATAAATCCGTATACTTTAGATTGTGAAGTATCAATACACAAACGATGAATATACCTAAAAAATTATAAAATCAACATTATAATAAAAGTGATGAGAGATATAACATATTAATAGATATTGACACTGATAAAAATAGAAAATGTACTTACGTGCACCAAACTTGGAGGGTAGACAAATCAAGCCAATTAAAACCCACCAAATCAAGCCAAATCAAGACAAATCCATGAAAGATTGTTCCATTGCCTTACGCTCTTCAGCCAACTTTTGATCAAAATCAGCTCTAAGCTTTGCTTCTAATTTAGATGATAACTGTGTAAATTGTTCTTTTATATCGTCTTGTCGTTGACGTGAAGATGATCTGCCAAAGAAAGTGCTTTGTTTATGGTGTTTTCCAACACCACGAACACGACCGCCATATTCAGATGTTCCAATGGCTGCTGTTAAGATATCATTACGTCCATCCGAAACAAAGCCACCCTTTTCAGCTTCTTCAACTAGAGAATCCTACAAAATAAAAAAACCATATTTTTTTATCAATCACAATTATAACTAGAGAATCCTGCAAAATAAAAAAACCATATTTTTTTACTTACAATTTTCTCAGCAACAACTTGTGTAGCCTTTGATGTGTATTCTCCCCCTTTCTTTTGCCGTGCTCTTTTCCATAACTCATGGCGTGACGGTGGAGATGGACTACCAGTATCATCTAAGGTAGAATCATCTCTCGATGATCTCCTTTCATTTATCATTTTCTCCTCAAGCAAACGATACCCTCCACGAGATAATACATGTGGGTATACATTCTTAGCCACATTTGCTGCACCCTTTTGACTTTTTTCCTATTATAAACTCAAAAAGTTATTAATCATACTAAACATAATAAAAATGTTATGCAAAAAAAATTATAACTCCTACTAACCTTAAATTCAGGAGTGTCTCGAGACTGCACAAAATCCTTCCATACTTCTTCTTTAATATAATTATACCTGATATATGGAGGAGCTAGACCTTCTTTGGGGTGTCTAATATACTCGCTTGTGAGTTGTGTCTTAAAAGCTCTCCATCGCTCTCCTGCATATTTAATCCATTCTTTCTTCAACGGATCCTTCTTTGGATCATGAGGTTCTGGAATAGTGAAATGAGCCTACACATATAGTATACGACATATGTTGTTAGTATATGATTATAAAATATAATAAAGTGTAGCAGTAAAACATACCTGAACATCAGTCCAAATAGCCTCTTTTATGCCTTCATCTATGTCTTTCCACTCATTTTTCAAAATACTACATCTTTGTCGAGCAAGAGACGCTATGTAACTCCTAAAATTTGAAGAATTTTTACCCATACATCCCTTAGTCATCGGATGAAACTCGACCTTTATCTTTTCACCCGTTTGATGAACTTTGTTAATTTGTGTCATCAAAGTGGGACCTCTAACTCTTCTTTTTTTAGGGTCACTAGATGAAGAAGGGTTGTCGGTTGAATCAGTCATGTATCTGTTAACACAAAATAAAAACAATTAGAAATCAAATTAAGCACAAAATATAAACAATTAGACATCAAATTAAGCACAAAATATAAACAATTAGACATCAAATTAAGCATAAAATATAAACAATTAGACATAAAATTAAGCACAAAATAAATAAATAAATAGAAATTAAAGTATAAAATAACCTTACTAGTCCTTCCATATGCCTTCTTCATGATCTATGCGAATAGCATGCACGTCATCCTCTTCGTTTTCTTCAACGAAGGTAGGCACATTCATTGAGAAAGGAGGAGTTTCGGAAATATCAAGGTTTGCATCTTGGTTTTCATCACTATCATGCACCTTTCCTTGTATAACCACTGACCACCTTTTATTAGAAGGATCTGTGACATAAAACACTTGTTTTGCTTGAGACGCCATAATGAAAGGTTCGTCCGCATAAGCTAGCTTGCTAAGATCAACCGATGTAACTCCGAATTCATCGATTCTTACACCACTGTTGATATCAATCCATTTGCATTTAAATACAGGAACTTTAAACACAACATAATCAACTTCCCAAATCTCTTCAATCACCCCAAAGTAGGGTGTAGATGCCATAACCGGGTTTTTATCTTTAGCACTAGAGAAGTGCATGGACTCGGCCACAATCATAACCCCACTATTCTGTGTGGTACTACGATCATCCTTTGACTTTGTACAAAAGCAAGTTTTATTAATATCATATCCACTCCAAGTTATTATGTTACATTTAGGCTCATAGGACAACCACTTAATTGTATTGGAAGCACTATCCTCATTAGAAATTTTTTCTTTAAACCACTCAGAGAAACTCTTATTATGCTCTTTTAACAACCATCTTTCATTCATCTTGGGGTACTTTTTCTTTATGATGCTTTTGTGAGCAGATAAGTAAGGTTGAACTTCATCCGTGTTATTCAATATATACAAATGCGCTCGAAGAACCACATCAATACTTAAGCTCTTGACCTTTAAACCTTGTGTACCCACACCCTCACATCTTCCATCATGACGAGACTTGGGAACCCCTACAACATCCACTTCTGACAAATAGTTCGAACAAAACTCAATTGCTTCTTCTGCGATGTACCTCTCAACAGTTGATGCTTCCGGACGGTGTGGGTTTTTTGTATACCCTTTTAAGATCTTCATGTATCGCTCTATTGGGTACATCCATCGTAAATAAATTGGACCACATAATCTAATCTCCCTTACTAGATGAACAATCAAGTGAACCATAATGTCAAAAAATGAAGGAGGAAAATACATCTCTAATTGGCATAAGATAACTGCAGCCTCATTTTCCAAAATTTCTAGCTTTAATGGATCAATGGCTTTACAACAAATTGCATTGAAAAATAAGCACAACCTAGTTATAGTCTTCCTAACATTGTTAGGCAATATCCCACGAATAGCCACTGGTAGTAGCTGTTGCATTAAGACATGACAATCATGAGATTTTAATCCAATTAATTTGAGATCTTTACCTGAGACAAGCCTATTGACATTTGATGAGTAGCCATGCGGCACTTTAATACTTTGTAAACACTCACAGAAACTTATTTTTTCTTTTTTAGACAGAGTGTAGCAGGCAGGAGGCAAATATATCTTATTACCTATATGTTGTGGAGTTAACTCTTCTCGTATACCCATCAAACTCAAATCCAGACGAGCATTATAACCATCTTTTGTCTTGCCTTGAATGTTGAGAAGTGTTCCGATTAAACTATCACATACATTTTTCTCCACGTGCATCATATCAATACAATGTCTTACATCAAGACTAGACCAATATGGAAGATTGAAGAAAACCGACCTCTTTTTCCATATATTTTTCACAGTAGATTGCTTTTGGTATTTTCCAAAGACGACTTTAATGCCTTGTTGTCGTTGATAAACTTCCTCTCCAGTTAAGGGCTTTGGAGCAACACCATGCTCTTGTTCTCCATTGAAAGCTTTCCGCAATCTACGATATGGATGATAACGATCTAGAAATTTTCGATGCCCGAGATAAACAGTCTTCTTTCCTTTTACAAGTTGATGGTAACATGTGTCTTTTTCACATATAGGACATGCTCTATGCCCTTTAACTTTATAACCAGACAAATTGCCATATGCCGGAAAATCGTTGATGGTGCAAAACAACATGGCACGCATATTGAACTGTTCACCAGAATACGCATCAAAAACATCCACCCCTTCCTCCCACAACACTTTTAAATCATCAATCAGAGGACTTAGATAAACATCTATGTCATTTCCGGGTTGTTTTGGGCCCGAAATCATCATCGATAACATAATATATTTACGCTTCATGCACAACCTAGGAGATAGGTTGTAGATCATCAGGAGAACAGGCCAACAAGTATGGTTAGTACTTAGATTACCAAACGGATTCATTCCATCAGTTGAAAGTCCAAGTCTAAGGTTTCTCGACTCTTTGCCAAAATTTGGAAACAAAACATCTATTTTCTTCCATTGTAAAGAATCAGCTACATGGCAAATTTTTCCATCACACTTTCTTTCTTCTGCATGCCATCTAAGATTCTTTGCATCATTTGCATTAGCGAATAGTCTCTTGAACCTTGAAATTATTGGTAGGTACCATACCACTTTCGTGGGAGGAACTTTTTTTACCGCCTCATCATCACTAGAATCACCAACATTCTTTTTGTAGCGGGATGCCTTGCACTTCGGACAATGATTATAGTTTACATACTCTTTTCTGTATAATATGCAATCATTAGGGCATTCATGTATCTTTTCATACTCCAAACCCATCGGACATAATATCTTTTTCGCCTCGTAATAACGATTTGGCATTACGTTACCTTCTGGAAGCATCTGTGTCAACAATTCAAGCAATTCGCTAAAACTTTTGTCAGTCCACCCATTATTTGCCTTCAAATTAAACAATTTTAACACGGCTGACAAACGTGTAAAATTTGTGCATCCCGGATACAAAGGTTTATCCTTGTCACTGCATAAAGTATCATACGCGTGCGCCTTCTTAAACGAATCTTGTCCAATATCACGCATCATGTCTTCCAGACGATCATCCATTTCTGCACTAACATTATCTCTTTGGGACACATTTGACTTTGCTACTACCTCACCGTGCCATATCCATTGTGTATAACTTTGACAAATCCCATGACAAATTAGATGATCCATGATTTCTTTCTTATTGAGTTTTGGTTCGTGATTTGCACAACGAACACATGGACAGAGAAAAAGCAGATGAAGACTTTTTTCAGCATCACTCTTAGGAGGAGCAAGATTTTTTTTAGCATTACTTTCAGCAAGCTCTAGAAATTCCATCACTCCTTTTTCGTACTCGAAACTTAATCGATTGGCTCTCATCCAACTACGATTCATACCTATGTTCCGAAATTATTAATGCATACAGAGTTAAATCATTGGAATGCCTATAATAGTCCCTCTTTTAGACATTAGAGAGAACAAAAAGTATCTATGTGTAAACACATGGCATAAAAGAAGAATTAAGAAGTTATAAAGAATGAAAACAGAACCTGCAATTACGTGGCGGCCGAATGACTTGCGGTTAAGAGAAAAAGAGGGACACAAATCCTGCGAGAAACGAAAAATCAATTTTTATTCCATGAGACACCACTAATTACTCGTAACTTTTACATAAATTACTACTGGTAAATAATTCCATGAGACACCTCTTTTATTTGCAATTATATAGACTAAATTATTTTTAATTATAACTTAATAATTTTAAATTAGTAAATTTTAATTAATATGTCAATATTAAAAATTAATATTCAATTTTAGTTTAAATTAATATCAAATATATATATATATATATTAAATTAAAACAAGTCTAATAATATGATTGTAATTTTTAATACGTCATATCACTAAATTATAATTTATTTATTTTAATATATCTCTAAATTAAAACAAGCCTAATAATATGTTTATATTTCTCATGTAATTTTTATCATCAAAAACACCCTTCAAAATCCTACTTTTTTTTCCCCTTAGGTACAGTACTCCCTCACCTCACACTTCAATCTTTTGTTTTTACTTGGTACTACTACTGTCTTGTGTTGGAATATTATTAATACACTTGTTTTCTTTTTTTTTCTTTTATTGCTAAATGCATGTGCCATATTTTTCATTCATTATTATCTACCTAATTTTTTTTTTCATTTTTTATGTGATAGGTAGGTAGTATCATATCAATAAAATTTTAATTGATGTGATAGGTAGGTAGTATCATATCAATTGAAAGGGATACCGTTTTTTATAGTCTTTTGTTTCAATTCATTTAAGAAAAAAAAGAGGCTATTTTAGAAACTCAATCAATAAAATTAGTTATAATATAATTAATCAATCAAATATAATTAATCAATCATTAATCAATTATTTTTATAATATAATAATATTTAAATGTTTGAATGATTTTATTTTTAATATTACTCCCAATTTAAAGTATGTTAATCAAACATCTTATCACTCCGTTGATAATTCGCTAAATCAGACCAATAGTTAGCAACCCAAAATTAAAAAGGAAAATGAGAAAGTAATATTGATTAAAAAAGAAAAATATTACATAGGATAAGTTGTTAAAACTACTTATAATATATAAAAAATATTTAATTTAATTTTATGTTTTATTATAAAACTATGGTGGAGGAGTTGTTCTTCTGGAATGGAAGCAACAACCCAAACCCACTTCAACAATTTCAACATAACAACTCTAATCTACTTCTTCTCTCTGGTCCTCCTTCTTCGTAATACACTTTCTCTGCCTATAATTTTACTTGTTTCATTTCTTCTTCTTCTTCTTCTTTTTCTAATTAATAATCAATTTTCTACACAGCGGAAAGACTTCACTTCTTTTCCAATTTGCATTCAATGTAGCAGCAGCACTTCACTCTAACTATTCCAACCCAAATGTTGTCTTCATCTGTAACCAAAACAGATTGGATTCCAAACCCCCTTTTCTTTCTCAGGGAATTGACCCATCTTCGAATATCTTCCGACGTATACAAATGAAGTATATACTATATACCATAACCCTTTTTTGTTATCTTTCATTAGTCATCACCAGTTATATATTTACGCTAATTTAATTATTTTTAATATTAATCAAACATTTTTCGGGTCTAAAATAAAGCAACAATGACTATAATCAAAAAACCATATATTCTAAGGAATTTTTATAGATAAATCAACAAAACCTCCCCTAAATCTCAGACGAAAAAACCACAATAGAATCAACAATTTCAACAATTTAATCTTGAACTAACCCTAACCTTTAACGGATATAAGAATAAAAAAATGAAAGAACATAGACATATATGAATTAAAATTAAGGAGTATAGAACCTTAAAATGATGTCAGAATCGAAACCGTGTTCGGATGGTGGTGAGAACGGTGACCGGCGGAGGGAGGGAGAATGGCGGAGGAAGAGAGAACAACGAACGGCGGAGGGGGGAGAACGTCGAACGGTGGAGGTAGGGAGAACGGCGAACGGCGAACGGCGGAGGGGGGAGAACGGCGAACGAAGGGAGGGAGGGAGAACGGCGGGTTTGGTGAAGGTTCGTAGTGGGTTTTGGTAAAATGTGCAGGTTTTGGTGAAGAAACAGTATTTGTGGGTTTAGTAGAAATATCCATGTAACTTTTTAAATCGGTGGATTTTACAACCGATTTAAAATCCAATTCATTAATTATCTTTTAAATCGGTGGGTTTTTAAACCGATTTAAAATCTATGTTTTATTAAATCGGTGGATTTTAAGACCGATTTAAAAAATAATTTATTAAATAACTTCTTAAATCGGTGGATTTGAAAACCGATTTAAAATCCCATTCATTAATTAAGGAAATGAATTAAATAACTTCTTAAATCGGTGGAAACAAAACCGATTTAAAATCTAATTTATTAATTTTTTTATTATTACTTTTGAGTGGCTTTTTAAATCGGTGGATTTGAGAACCGATTTAAAATCTCATTCATTAATTATTTTTTATTATTATTTTTTAAATCGGTTGGAAAGATACCCGATTTAAAAACCCTTTTACTAATTTTTTTTAATTTTTTACATCGGTGGATTGATTGGCCCGATGTAATAGATGTTATAAAACTTTTTTTTATTAATTACGATACTGCCACCGTGTTTATATTTTTAGATTTTACATTGGTTCGAGTGAATACCCGATGTAAAATAATTTTCCCAAATGTCTTTTTTCTAGTAGTGCATCCTCCAGTTAGCCAGAGTTCTGATCCAGCCTTTGTTTCCTGAAGGTGATTACCCGGAGTTTGGATTGGGCAGCTGTTGATTGTCAGAAGCCGACCTAGGGGTTGAGTAGATTTGAGCAGAATCAAGCATTGAAGTCAGCTGAAGATTATTGGTAGCTATGTCTGAAGGCAATTTCCAGTCTCCTAACACCTTGACAGGGTTCACTATGACGTCCAACCCTCTGTATGATTCCATGGAAGACTTCCCTCAAGGGAACAACGTTACTGCAGACCAAGTTGTACAGCCTTCTGTTGAGAACCGAGGTCGACACGAGCAGTTTGTTGTCCGAAATGAGCGTCCTCCTCCTGTTAACAATCAAGGTGTTGCTTTCCCTGTGATGAATCCACGAAGAGATATTCCAATAGCCAGGACCGTAGATCCAAGAGCTCTTGAAAAAGATAGAAGACTTCGAGCATTGGAAGAGAAAGTTGAAGCTTTGAAAGTCAAAGATGCTGTTAACCTGGATGCTGTAGGCATGTGTTTGGTTCCTGACCTGGTGTTGCCTTATAAGTTCAAAGTGCCGAAATTTGAGAAGTACACGGGAGATAGCTATCCGAAGCAACATTTGATGATGTTCTGTCGAAGAATGACTTCGTTTGTGCGAGATGACAAATTGATGATCCATTGCTTTCAGGATAGTCTGACTGGGGCATCTTTGAGGTGGTATATGCAGTTAGAGAGAAATCAGATTCAGTCATGGATGGATTTAGCCAAAGCCTTTCTGAAGCAGTACGATTATAACCTAGACATAGCTCCTCATCGCATGAAGTTGCAAGAACTGTCTCAAGAGAACAATGAACCTATCAGGAATCTTATGTCGCTTCCATTGCAAAGCAGCGAACTCGTGGCCGAGGTTATCAGAATCAGCGTCAGAATCAGAACAGACCTTGTAGCAACTTGGAACGGAGGAAAGCTCATTTTCACCCAGTGCCTATGCCGTATAGCCAGCTGCTACCATCTTTGATCCAGAGTTCTTTGGTGGAACCTAAAGCTCTTAAGCCAGTGCCAGAACCTTACCCTCCTTGGTATAATCCTCATGTTCAGTGTGGTTACCATGGTGGCTCTCCGGGGCATTCGACGGAAGATTGTAAAGCATTTCAGGCGAAAGTACAACAGTTGATTGACCAAGATCGCATTTCCTTTCGAGAAGGACTTCTGTTTGTTCATACCAACCGCTCAGCTGTCTAAGCTCGTAGACTCGGAAAGTATTCCCCAGCAAAGGAGCCAGTGATTCAGACAGGCAGGCGCCTCAGCATTGGCAGTCCTCAGACTTTTATATCATTTGCATTTGTAGTTTCTTTTCTGTTAGTTACTACTTACTTTTAAACATTGTATGTTTTGAATGGCGATGTTAATAAAGTGACTATGCATTTTTCTGAATTAATCATGTCGCTGTCGCTCATTTACTGCATTGCACTGACACTTGCATTTTATTCACTCCACTTTATCACTATGACTAGCAAAGATTGGAGGGAGGATGACGAAACTAAACTCATAACCGATGATCGTATGCTTTTAGATAAGGCCTTACTGATGACATACAAGGCATTGTTTCAATTCCCCAAACACTGGAGATATAAGGAGTTAGTCCCTTGTTAACCACTTCGAGCCAGGAAGTAGAAGTTTTTTCGAACTTATAAACCCTCACATCTTAACCCGGGGCAGGGTAGTTGTCAGTTAGCTTGACCGAGCATTCAAGTCTTACAGAGGAGTGGTGTCTTTCGAGGACCAAACAGTTTATACCTTTCAAGGGTCAAACCTCACCAACCAGGAGTGAGACAGTTACAATCCTTTCGGAGCAATCAAGACAACCAGTGTCACACGACTTTGTTCCAAAAGAAAGAAGAAAGAAAGCCCGCTAAGTAAAAAGAAAGAAAAAGCTGGGAAAGCTAATACTTAGGCAAAAATCAGGGCATCCCGCTGGACTTCAAAAAGAAAAAAATCGAAAAGAACTTAAAAGGAGTCAGTCCAGGCAAAAGTTAGGGAATCAAAAGAATGAAAAAGAAGGGATAGAAAAAAACTTTTCCCCAGCGAGTGACAAAGTCGTGTACACAGACACCGAAAGCGAAAAGGAGTAACTATCACTCCGGGAAAGCCCTGTG